GTGTGACTGATGTGTAGTTAGGGTTGGGATTAATTTTTGAAAACACTTTCCTTTCCCCCACTGACTTACCTTAGCATCTCTGTTGAAAATCAATTGGCAATATAGGTACAGATCTATTTCCAGACTTTCTGTTTTGTTCCATTGATCTATTTACTTTTCCTTATACTAATACTACATTGTCTTAACTACTATGTCTTAATTAGTCTTGAAATCAGGTAATATGAATCTTCCAACTTTGTTACTGTTTTTCAAGTTTGTTTTGGCTATTTTTAGTCCTTCACATTTCCATATAAATTTTAAAATAAACTTGCCATTCTCTATTTTAAAAGCCTGCTGGGATTCTGATTGGGCACAACTGACATTTTACTAATATTAAATCTTATAACCCGTGATGTATATTTCTGTATTTGTGGTATATGTCTCCATTTACTTGTCTTAATTCTTCTTAGCAAAGTTTTGCAATTTTTAGTGTACATATCTCATAAATCTTCTGTTAAAAGTTTTTTTTGGCCGGGCGCGGTGGCTCAAGCCTGTAATCCCAGCACTTTGGGAGGCCGAGGCGGGTGGATCACGAGGTCAAGAGATCGAGACCATCCTGGTCAACATGGTGAAACCCCGTCTCTACTAAAAATACAAAAAATCAGCTGGGCATGGTGGTGCGTGCCTGTAATCCCAGCTACTCAGGAGGCTGAGGCAGGAGAATTGTCTGAACCCAGGAGGCGGAGGTTGCGGTGAGCTGAGATCGCGCCATTGCACTCCAGCCTGGGTAACATGAGTGAAACTCCGTCTCAAAAAAAAAAAAAAAAGTTTTTTTCTAAATATTTTATATTTTTGAGGCAATTTACTGAGATGATTATAAGACAGATTTTGGCACAACTGTCAGATGCACCTAAAATCTAAGGCTCGTTCTAAAAAAATACCTTTGAGTTCTCAGTTAGGTATTATGGGGTTGAGGCACAAAGGTTAATACAAACACACACACACACGCATGCACACACACACATGCACACGCAAATGCACGCGGGCGCGCGTGCACACACACACACATATAGATGATTCTATAGGGGTGTTGTAAGGCAGCATGTGAATAGGTATTAGTTCACCATAGAGAAAACAAGAAATGATAGTGACTGGCAGGAGGCACAGCAGAGATTCTGGGATGTTGTAACATTCTATTTCCTGTTCTGGAGTAATAGGTGTGTTTAATTTGAGAAAATTCAGCAAGAAATATTTTTAAAATCTGTACCCTTTTCTGTTTGCATTTTTATAATACAGTTATAAATTTTTTACACTTTTTATATATTTTTGATTTTTATACAAATTTATATTTTTAAATTTTTTATATAAATTTAAATTTTTTATCTACTTTCAATAATTTTATAATACAATATTTAAATGAATTAAAATAATTTTTTAAAATCTCAGGAGCTAATTCATGCATTTGGTGCCAGCTTTAGAGTCATGAGAAGGTGGTTGGTGTGACAGAGGCTTGTCACCATGTTATTGTCCTCTTGACAGTGTAGTGAATTGAGCTGTAATTCCTTGCAGGGGGTGATAATATTTTATGTATCATTGAAACACAGCCAAGGAAATACCCTATGCAAGGATTCTGGGACTAGAATACTTCTTTAAGGGGAGAAAAAAGGGAAAATGTAAGAGAAAAGAAAGACATATGAGCTGGAGGGGAATAGAAAGATCCAGAGAATATGTGAGAGAATGATTGATATAAGCATTGTCTCCTACCAGCATCAATTGAAAAAATACTAAGATTTATGCTTTGTTTACATTCACCCTGGAAGATAGCATGAAGTGACATTAAGACTGTATATATTTATAATATAAATGCAATTGTAGAGTATTAGTATTAACATGCACTGGATACCCTAAGATATTTATTCTCAGCCTGATTCTCACTGAAATTAGAGTTAATGTATATTCTCTACCTTCTGTGTCATTTTGTTCATTCTTCAAGTATTGTTACTCATCACACTATATTAAAGTTACTTCATTGTCTGTCTCCTTCACTTTTCTGACACCTCCTAGAGAACAAGGGCATTGTTTTATTCCTCTCCAAACTGCCAAAGCACAGCATGTCTTTGAACCTTTGAGGAATTACTCAATAAATGCTTGTTGAATTAAATGAATGGCTTTTAAGATGATCCTGCACATGGAATTCTCAATTATTTATGAATTTATAGGAGCATGAAATCTGCTCCTATGAAACGTAAATGCTGCTGTTTGCTTAATTCTAATTTATTGTTTAATTTGATCACCAAAATCAATTTTTTAATGTGAATTTATTAGTTCATCTGAGCATCCTAACGACCCTGCATGGAATAGAAGGGCAGTATTAAAATATCAATTTTACAGATGAAGAGGCTATGCTTATAACATGAAAACAATTTATTAGAGCTCATACAGGTAATGCCAGAACCAGATCTGGAATCTAGAGTTTTGATTTTTTCACTCAGGTAATTTCTCTAAACAACCATATCACCTGTGGCAACAAAAGTCATTCTATAAATTATCCTGGGGAATTTTAACTCCCAGGCTAGTTTTTTCTGGATATAATTTGGTTTCTTTTTTTTTTGACAGTGTCTCACTCCGTCACCCAGGCTGGAGTGCAGTGACTCAAATCTTGACTCACTGCAACTTCTCCCTCCCAGGTTCAAGCAATTCTCATGCCTTAGCCTACCAAGTAGCCGAGACCACAGGCACATGCCACCATGCTTCGCTAATTTTTGTATTTTTAGTAGTGATGGGGTTTCACCATGTTGACCAGGCTGGACCCAAACTTCTGGCCTCAAGTGATCCTCCCGCCTTGGTCTCCCAAAGTGCTGGTTTTACAGGCATGAGCTACTGCACCTGGTCGAACTTGGTGCCTTGCCACCTTCTTTAGACAGCCCATTCTTCTACTCCCTATTCTCACCTTCACCTCGCCTGTCCTCACTTCATTCCCTGAGATTACAGAGAAGAAAGGCTATTTCTTTTTTCTTTTTCTTTTTTTTTTTTTTTTTTTGAGACAAAGTCTTGCTTCCCAGGCTGGAGTGCAGTGGCACGATCATGGCTCACTGAAACCTCTGCTTCCCAGGTACAAGCGATTCTCCTGCCTCAGCCTCCCAAGTAGCTGAGACTACAGGCATGTGCCACCACGCCCAGGTAATTTTTTGTATTTTTAGTAAAGACGGGGTGTCACAGTGTTAGCCAGGATAGTCTCGATCTCCTAAACTCATGATCTGCCCACCTCAGCCTCCCAAAGTGCTGGGATTACAAGAGTGAGCCACTGCACCCAGCTGAAGAAAGGCTATTTAATATTGGCATAGTATTGTGTCTATCTGCAAATTCATTTCAGCATTCCTTATCCCCTATATATGTACAGTTCTTGAATACCTCTTTTGAATCAGTTGAAACTGGCTTTTACTGTAATCTCACTACTTCTCTCATTAACTAGTTCAATACATTCTTTGACATGTGTTCACTGTATACTTGTAGAAGAGTCATGATTTTACATTTTCTGAGAATTATTCTTTAATAATGGATGTTTTCTCAATAATGTATGAATAAAGGCAACTTCAGGGAATGATGCAATTTTTGCTGATCTGCAATTCACAGCCTAAGTAAAAAATTTTGTTCACTCCGCAAATCGTACTTCAAGGCCTAACTAATAAGTTCAAGGACCTGTCTTTCTGTGCCCCAGTGGAAGAAACAATTTCAGTCAGATGTGATGGACAATGTAGACACAGAGAAATGACTTGAAAAACTCTTCCAATGTTCCCTGAGAGACTCAGAATACAGAAAGAGTTGTCTCAAGCCTTAGATAGAAAAGACAGATATGAAGAGTCTCCTCCTCTTCCCCTCTTTTCCTTCATGCCCTCCATTTCAAGGGACTGAGATTTGAAGAATCCTATTCCTATCAATTGGCAACTTTATAGTCTCATATTCGAACCACAGCAGGTGAGAAGAGAGAGTTGGATAAGAATCTAAATTATCACAGGCCCTAAACACTTTTTAAAAGACATTACTCTGGGCCAGGTGTGGTGGCTCATGCCTGTAATCCCAGCACTTTGGGAGGCCGAGTTGAGTGGATGACTTGAGGTCAGGAGTTCAAGACCAGCCTGGCCAACATGGTGAAACTCTGTGTCTACTAAAAATACAAAAAATTAGCCAGGCATGGTGGTTAGGTGCCTGTAATCCCAGCTACTCGGGAGGCTGAGGCAGGAGAATCACTTGAACGAAGGAGTCGGAGGTTGCAATGAGCTGAGATGGCGCCACTGCACCCCAGCCTGGCAATAGAGTGAGACCCCTTCTCAAAAAAAAAAAGACATTGCTCTAAATTCTGTAAGTATCAGTCATTGTCATCATCATCATTATCTTTATCCTAATTTATAATCACTTATAAAACTTGTCACAAACCTCCAGTTTTCAGCCTGGTATGTAGAAGGATGTGCTTTGGAGCAGGTAGGTGAGGGATCCAACCCTCTCCTTCTAGCTTTGTCATAGGCTTTGTCTCACAATCTCTGGAGTTTTCTCTCTTTATCTGTAAAAACAAAGCCATGGCTGTTGAGGATATTAACTGAGATATGTTTAAGATAACATATACAGAAGCTCTGTGGGAACTTTTTATAAAAGTGTCAGTTGCTGGACTTGTCCCTCAGTTTCCTTATCTCTAATGGAAATTATAATGGAACCTACCGAACAGGGTTCTTGTGAATTCCAAATATATTTAATAAATATAAGAACAGCTCCTGACACGGTTAGTGCTTAACAAATGTGAGCTATTGTTATTATTAATGTGTGCTCCACGAGATGGCGTGCCGGATTTGAAACACCTTGTCATCTCCCAAAGAGCCTAGCACCGTACACCTAGCAGGCGCTCACTACATCTTTGGGGGATGATTTATAAAAGGAAGAGTGTTCTAACCTCAGCCTCCACTGCAGGGGGCGTCCGAGTGTAGAACGTTCGTTCGTAGGCCGGAACCCAAAGCTCCAGACGCTGCGACGCCGGAGCCTCTAGGCCACAGGACACTGGCGCCGGAAGTGGCGAAGTCGGGATCCGCGCTGCCGGGTGAAATCGTAGGCCAGCGAAGATGCTGCTGGAGTTGTCTGAGGAGCATAAGGAGCACCTGGCCTTCCTGCCTCAAGTGGACAGCGCGGGTCAGGGGGCGCCGGGGCGGTGTTCTGTGGGCTGGGGAGGAGGTCCAAAGGCAGCGCCCGGCACTCAACAGCCTGACTTTCATTGCAGTGGTCGCCGAGTTTGGGAGGATTGCTGTGGAATTCCTGAGGCGCGGCGCAAACCCAAAAATCTACGAAGGCGCCGCCAGTAAGAAGGGGAAGGGGACGGCTCCGCAGGCTGCTAGGATAGTGCGAGCTATTCTCTGTCTCCCGGGAGAGAAGGGGATTGTTGCGATTCCTAGGGTCTTGTTCCCATTGTAGTAGAATAAAACCAGCAGAGCTCTTCAGTCAAGGTGCAAATCCTGCCCGTCGCTTAAGTAGCTGTGAGATTGTTAAAGCTTCTATTAAATCAGTTTTCTCATGGTAAAATGTACATAATGCCACCTTACTTTCAGAAATACTGAAAAGAAGTTGGTATAAATATACCAAAGTCTGTGGAATAGCTGGTTCAACTGTAAATATGCAAGTATTTGGTTATCATTATTAATTGTTCAGATATCCGCTTTTGCTAAAAAAAAAGTGTTGTTTTCCCGCTGGATAAGAGGCAGTCTCTGGGATTAAGTCAATCCCTGTCCAGTTCCTCATCTACAAACTTGAAGGAGCTACATTCAAGAGAAGGGCTACGCACCTGGTATTAGCCTCCACAGTTAGCGTTTTGTTATGGTGGGAAATACCAAAGGCATTTGGCTGGGGGTGGAGTGAGAAGGAGAAGGAGCCTCTGACCAACTTACTATTTTTCATGCAGTGTTTGAAAACATGTAATAATGGATAGTGTTTATTTTTACATACAAATATGAACAAGGTAAATACCACAGTAGTAATTTATTTGCTCGTTTTTGGTTTTCTTTCCCAGGAAAACTCAATGTGAGTAGTGACACTGTCCAGCATGGTGTGGAAGGATTAACGTATCTCCTCACTGAGAGCTCAAAGCTCATGGTAAGGGTTTCTCTGGACTCTTCTGTATTGCCTAGACCCTTAAGAAAGGTCTAGGGTACCCTAAATCAAAGTCCTGGCAGGTACCTGTGTATTTTAATAATGTTGTTAATGGTTTATAATTGAGTTTTTGAAGACATATCTAAAAAATAAAAATCCTATGACATCATCTACTGACATGACTACCTCTTGCTAGTATAAATAGCTGGTATAGAAGTACCTCTAATTCTGCATGTTGTTAAACAATATATGTATCCTAAGAGGAGAGAGAATATTAATATTGTTTGCATATCAGCAGTATCTGGCTTAATGAAGAATAAGAAAGGAAACTGGGCATCTTAATTATTCCCATTTTATACTTTAATAAAGTACTTTTATGTATCGGTAACTCAGATTTTGGCATGGTGGGCAATGGTTATCTTTAAGGAATACTGTTTCTTTTACTAGACAGAATACATTAGAAGATATCATTCCTTTGTGTATATTAGGTATTTTAGCTAGACAAAGATAAATTTGATGTTCTTTTAAACTCAATTTACTTAGATTTCTGAACTGGATTTTCAAGACTCTGTTTTTGTTCTGGGATTCTCTGAAGAATTAAACAAATTGTTGCTTCAGCTTTATCTGGACAACAGAAAAGAGATCAGAACTATTCTCAGTGAACTGGCACCAAGTCTTCCCAGTTATCATAACCTTGAATGGCGACTAGATGTACAGGTATAGCATTTTAAAAATTAACTTAACATAGAATATAAGAATTATTTTAGGTTTGCGTCCAGTTTATTGTATTCCTTACCACCTTAACTAAGATCCGGTTTGAAACTTTGTTTTTTTTAACATTCACTTTTAGGCCATTTCTTTTATTTTCAGCGTGTTCAAATCAGTTTAATTTGCAAAGTTTATAAGAAATTGGTTATTTTTGAAAAGGAAATGATTATGCAGATTTTTTAGGTGGTGCCTAGATGTTTAAAAACTTTTCTGTTTGAATATAACAGATGTGGAAAAGTGCACAGGTCAATGTACCGCTCAATGAATTATCACATGGTGCATTTAACTATGACTCACACCCCAGAAGCATCTTCCTTGCCTCCCTACAATTACTGCCCCTTCACTCCTTTTCAAAGGTGAAGGCCAGAAGGTATAGGCCAGAAGTGGTGGCTCACACCTATAATCTCAGCACTTGGGGAGGCCAAGGCAAGTGAATCACTTCAGGTCAGGAGTTCGAGACCAGCCTGGCCAACATGGTGAAACCCTGTCGCTACTATGAATACAAAAATTAGCCAGGCGTGGTGGCACCTACATTCTCAAGCTGGTTTCATCCAATTTGAATTCTTAAATAATGCCCATATTCTTGGGATTACCAAATTTATATCTTTAGCCTAGACCTGTTCTCCCAACTTCAGAGTCATACAGTTGAAGCCTGTTTGATATCTCCACTTTGGTAATTTGATAAGCATTCAAATGCAATATGTCCCAAACTGAATCCCACCTTTCTTACCCACTGCTACAGTTTGGCTCTGTGTCCCCACCCAGATTTCACCTTGAATTGTATTAGTCCCCATGTGTCAAGGGTGGAATCAGGTGGAGATAATTGAATCATGGGAGCAGTTTTCTCCATGCTGTTCTTCTGATAGTGAGTGCTTACAAGATCTGATAGTTTTATAAGGGACTACCCCCTTTGTTTGGCATTCAGTCTCTCTCCTGCCGCCCTGTGAAGAGGTGCCTTCTGCCATGATTGTAAGTTTCCTGAGGCCTCCCCAGCCATGTGGAACTGTTGAGTGAATTAAACCTCTTTTCTTTGTAAATTACCCAGTCTCTGTTATTTTTTCACAGCAGTGTGAGAAAGGATTAATATACCTGCTCGTTACTAAAACTGCTCCTTCCGTAGCCTCTCCTGTCTCAGATGCTACATCCATTGTTTGAATCATGAAGGCCAAAAATATTTTTGGGATCATCCTTTACTCTTCTCCTTGACCTTCATCTAGTCCATCTGCAAGTCAGTTTTTTAAAAAGGTATCCACAGTCTGACCACTTCCCTTGTATGATTTGAAAAAAAAAAAAGTAGGAAATTTCACACCAAAATTATAATTTTTAGCAACTTTTGAAAAATTAGAAGTTCAGGCGCACTAGAGCCACACACACGTGGCCTTCATCAGTTGAAGATAGATTGAATTTAAGGTGATGACAGCTTATTTAAGTTGCAGTCTCTACATTAGGTGAGGATGTGGGCCTAGAACTTAGATGCAAAATTATTTCAAATCACAAATGGGAATGATTTTTCTGACATCTGAACTGAATCTCATTGGTTGCTCATGACTAATAGGAATAAAAGCCAGTGATTAAAGTAAGAGTGGTTTTAGTGAAAACAACCACTAGACACAACACAATGTCACTGAAAGTAACAGCAACATTTAAGAATAGAGGGATCATTGGGGGTATAAGAGTTAAGACAAAAGTCTTAGGATTTGGACAGAGGAAAGATGTATCTGTCATACTATATCTTCAAATTTTACACTTGGGATAGAGTGGCTGGCATAGAGAATATTCCATTGTCATGAGCATCTTCAGGTACATGCAGATAAACAATAAAAAAGATAACGTCTTATGCCATTAATCCATTTTTGCTTCCATACATCTATTCAGTTACCAGACCATTTATTGAATGTCTGGTGCATGCTAGGCCTTGTGGACTTAGCAGTGAAAGAAAGAGTGCTGGCCTTTAAGTCCCCACAATCTTACAGTAAGAGGGAGACCAAAAAATAAAATTTCATTAGAAATCAGCAATTATAATCAAGTGTGATGAGTGCTTGAATAGGCATGAACACAGGATGTGGTATAAACCAGACTGTAGGCTCCAGGAGGGCAGGTATTGTGTCTTTTTCATTACTGTGTGCCCAGCAAAATGCTGGCATATAATAGGCATTCGGTACGGAATAGAAAGAGTGGGTGGCAGGGGGAGTGGCTTCTTAAATTATTTATCAGATATTTCTTGTACCTCTAACATGTGCCAGGTGTTGTGGATACAGCAAAGAACAAAACACAGTTCGTGCTCTGGGGGACATCATAAGCAGCAAGTCTTGTGGGGTTCATGGGGGAAATGACTGTGGATAAGCCTTTATATTAGGTCCTTTCATGATAACCCAGTGGAGATGTGAGGATGGTCATGTATGTGGCTCAGCAGTAGTTTATCTTATAGGTCTTTACCTCTGTCGTGTGTGCAAGTGTCCCCTGACTTTTGGGGTCCAGTAGGCTTTAACAGTTATTTTTTTGGCTTTATTGATTGGCTTTGAGTTTTTCCATTATGAAGACATTTTTGGAAGTTAAAATTAAGAAATTGAATTTTCTAAAATTAAACTCAAGATAGTTCATTTACGGAGTAAAATCAGTTTGAATCACTGCATTATTGCTAGGACTAGTATGGTTTAAGGTTGAGAGTACACTGAGTGAATGTTGTTACTTATGGAGAAGTGCATTTAAGGCCTAAAAAAGCTACCCAGAACCAATTGAGTTCCTGAGCTTATTTGTTGAAACCATTGCATAGGATTTTAACTGGAGTGGATTCTTCTGCTCAGTAAGAAAGGCATATCAGGTAAGACTAGCTAAATGGCTAGGAAACTAGTAACAAGATACAGCACCTTTCATGTTTAAGTAACTGACTTGTCTCATGGAGACTCTTAGTGATGGACAATTACCACTTAATTATTGTGCTCTTGCTTATGGGAATCAAATTAATCAACATAGCTTAGTGTCTCATAGGAACATTTCCCCAGACTTAATAAACTGCCAACACAATTGATGTCCTTGTTAATAGCATTAGTAATTGAATGAGACTGATGCAGGAGGATGTTCCTTTTAGGGCTGGCTCATTTACAACTACTACTTCAAAGTATTTTATTTTTTGAAACAGAGTCTCAAACAGTTGCCAGGCTGGAGTGCAGTGGCACAATCTCGGCTCACTGCAACCTGCGCCTCCCAGGTTCAAGCGATTCTCCTGCCTCAGCCTCCCAAGTAGCTGGGACTACAGGCACGCACCACCAAGCCCAGCTAAGTTTTGTATTTTTAGTAGAGACGGGGTTTCACCATGTTGGCCAAGATGGTCTCAATCTCTCGACCTTGTGGTCCGCCCCCCTCGGCCTCCCAAAGTGCTGGGATTACAGGTGTAAGCTACTGCGCATGGCCTTCAAAGCATTTTTTTTCTGTCCTGCCCACATGCTATTTGCCCTGAGGCTAAATAGAGAACTGAAATAGGAACTGTAGCTACATGAAACATAATTTATGTATCCTGTTTCCTACTTGATGTTTTTTGCCAGAATACCCTCTTCAGTGCCTTGAGATATGGCCCTTCAAAGTAAACATTTAAAAAATTTTTTTTCTAATTTGCACTGACATATGACATTTTAAAGTTGTTTTTATTGTTGTTATGTTTACAGGGATAAGGATAGAATTTCATTCCCCTTAAAAAATAAGTCCATATTCAGAATTTTGTGGGCTACTGTCCTTTGTCCTATAGTACTGTCATTCAACTTCTTTCTGAGGAAAAATCTTACTAGATGTTTGTTAGGGATGTTATGTAATCTCTTTTCTAGAACTATTAAAGAATAGTATAGATATTTGTAAAGATATTTAGGTATGTTGCCTAAAAATTGGAGGATAGTAGCTTTAAGTCTTTCAACAAAAAAGCCATGTCTTCATTACATACCACTCAGTTCCTGTCAGTGCAGTCCCTGTCTGTCAGTGTAGAGGAAAAACAAATATAAACAGAGCATAATTGAATAAATAAGTACTGTTTTCAGTTATATGTATAGTTTGCATATATGTCATAATCTATAATTATCTGTACTACAGAGATTATCTTAAACTGGTACTTCAGCTTGCAAGTACCTATTTTACGTTTAGGACTAGGTCACCCAAAGGGATTGACCTATTGTTTGTAAATTATTTTGGGACATTAAATTTCAGCCTTGGATCAGTATCTTGGGTTCTTTTGGAAACCCAAGTTACCTAGAATTATTTGGAAGAAGTTATTTGTCAAAATAATTCTATGTTATGGAATTAAATTTATCCTGAAATCTCAGGTTTAGATTTATTATTCACTTGAAAATCTCTTCAGGTTGGAATCTAGTCTTCTTGACATGACTCCACTATTTTTGATGACTTTTTTGCTGTCTCCTAAAACAGGATGTTGCAGGCTCATCTTGTATAGTTTCTCTCCTAGACTTCAAATCAGCTATTGCTTTGGATAGTTCTGGTTCCTTTTAGTGGAGACTCTAAAGACTGAAAGGACCTTCAAGTTGGTCATTGTTTATAGTTTTGGGTTTTTTCTTTTAAAAATATGTCAGTAGTACTTATTTTTAAAATTTTGGTATATATTATACAAATGAAAGGTTATAGATACTCAGTTTAAAGAATAATGATAAAACAAATACCAGTACACCCACCACCAAGCTTAGCAAATAAAACGAATACCTCTGAAGAACTGTACAATCCCTCAGTTGTAACCATCTCCCAGCCACCTGGAGGAAACCATTATCCTGAATTTTCTGTCAATCATTTCTTTCTTTTTTTTTTTTTCCCGGTGACAGAGTCTCACTCTGTTGCCCAGGTTGGAGTATAGTGGCGTGATCTCAGCTCACCACAACCTCTGCCTTCCGGGCTCAAGCAATTCTTCTGCCTCAGCCTCCCAAGTAGCTGGCACTGCAGGTATGCACCACCATGCTCAGCTACTTTTTGTATTTTTAGTAGAGACGGGGTTTCACTTTGTTGGCCAGGCTGGTCTTGAACTCCTGACCTCGTGATCCACCTGCCTTGGCCTCCCGAAGTGCTGGGATTATAGGCGTGAGCCACTGCGCCCAGCCCCTAATCTTTTCTTTATAGTTTTTTTAAACATAAATTTTGTCACTAAACTGTATATTTTTTAAGCTTGCACATATTCTGTGACTTGCTTTTTTTCATCATTTTCTTTTTAGTTTCTTCTGTGATAACCCATGTTGCTGTAATTCATTTCTTTTCTCTTCTATTGAGTAAGCCATTCATTGTGTGATTATTCTTGGTTTATTCCTTCTGTTGTTAATGAATATTTGAGGTATTTCTAATTTTTAGTTTTTGGAAATATACTATCAGGAATAAATGTATATGTGTAAGACTTTAAGGTATATGCTTAGGAGTAGATTGCTGGTAATGCATATTGTTTTCCAAAGTGGTTTTCTCATCCCTTACAAGCCTTGGATGAGAGTTCCCATTACTGCCACTTGCAGTGCTTGGTATAGACAGGTTTTTAATTTTTGCTAGTCAGATATTTGTAAAATGGTATTTCATGTGGTTTACTGGCTATTATCCTGATGATTAATAAAGTTGAACATATTTTTCTATGTTTATTCATTTGTCTTCTGTAAAATGAATAAAAATTCATTTATTAAAATTCATATAAAAATTTAGATCTTCTATAAAAATTTAGATCTTTGTATTTTTATCTTGAGTTTTGAGTTTTTTTCTTATTAAATCAGAGGAGTTCATCACACATTCTGGATACTAATCTTTTTTTGGTTATATGTGTGTTGCAAAATATCTTCTCTTGGTTTATGACTTGTTTTTTCACCATCTTTAGATATCCTTTGAAGAAAATTGATTTTTAATGTAGTTAAGTTTATCAGTTTTATCTTAATGGTTTAAACCTTTTATATCATGTTTAAGAAATCTTTCCATACCATAAAATTGTTTTTATATTCTTATTATTTTCTTTTCAAAGATTTTAAAGTTTACTTTTCATTTTGAAGTCTATAATTCATCTGAAGATTAATTTTGTATATGGTTTAAGATAATTATAAATAATATGTATTCCACATGGTTATTAAATAGTTACTGTGCTCTTCTTTCCTTTAAAATCAAGCTTGCAAGTAGAAGTCTCAGGCAACAGATTAAACCAGCAGTGACTATAAAGCTACACCTTAATCAAAATGGAGATCACAACACCAAAGTTCTACAAACAGACCCAGCCACTCTGCTCCATTTGGTTCAACAACTGGAACAAGCATTGGAAGAGGTGAAGACAAACCACTGTAGGAGAGTTGTTCGCAACATCAAGTAGTGCCAATTTTAAGGTTTGAATCCCTTTGAATCACTTATGAATTGATGATATATAGCGATTACTTTTCAAAATTATTTTTTTATTAATTGATGATGATAAATACATCTAGACTCCTCAGTATCTATTCCAAGATACTGAGGTCATCATCAGAAGCTAAAGTAAATTTCCTTTCTTGGTGCTAACTGTGGTCGTCTTGACAGATTAAGATGTATTTTATATTTTAAGTCTCATGCTCTAACAATGGAATTATTGAGTGAGTGGCCATTATTTTGTATTTTAAATATGATAATAGGATTGAATCAGCTAGAAATGAATCTATATCTTCTGTATATATGAATGACTATCCTGGCTTTGCTACTTCTTTTGACTGCTTAACTGTATTATTTTCCTCTTTATTGATAAAATTTGAAAATAAAATTCATAGTGTAATACTATTACTATGCAGAATTTTCTAAACAGTTCAGTATTTTTGACTTTTAAAACACCCCACAATGTTAGTAGCCACAGAATATTGAACATCAATATGATGTTTAATGCTATATTGTTGCAGGTAGTTTATTCATTTTTCTTTGTGAAGATGATAATTATTTACCGTATTGCCTAAGTTTGAGTGATCATGGTTAACTGGCTTAAATGGTACTCAAATTTGTGTAGTCATATATTGTGTCAAGGACTAATTTCTTCCACCATACCCAAAGCATCTAAGAGACACACTGTCATTTACAGTTTCTTTTTTGAGATGGAGTCTTGCTTTGTCACCAGGATGGAGTACAGGGGCATGATCTTGGCTCACTGCCACGTCTGCTTCCTGAGTTCAAGTGATTCTCCCGCCTTAGCCTCCCAAGTAGCTGGGATTACCGGCGTGTGCCACCACTACACCCGGCTAATTTTTGCACTTTTAGTAGAGACAGGGTTTCACCATGTTTGCCAGGATGGTCTTGATCTCTTGACCTCGTAATCGGCCCGCCTCAGCCTCCCAAAGTGCTGGGATTACAGGCCTGAGCCACTGTGCCCGGCCCTGTCATAAATAATGGATGCAGAGAAATATAATCAATTCCTGATTGTCCCAGATACAAATTATAGTCACTTTTTAAAATTTGAATAAACTATGATGAGGGAAGAAAGGCCATGCTTACTACATTATAAACAAATGTCCCTTCTCCCTTACAAACTTGATTTATGTTTTGTTTTATTTTTTAGTAAGGAACCAAAAACTTTTGGCCTGAAAAACTCAGGTGCTGATTTGTCAGGTTAGCCTGAGAGATTGCGGAGACACAGAGGCTGACTTAGGGAAAAGAATTGTATGGAAGGGTGGAAATGAGGGTTCAGTCTTAACTGTATCTAAGGTCTTATCCTGAGAGTCTTACCTTTATGGAATAACCTAGAAAGGGTTGTAGAGGCAACCAGAGTCTAAACTGCACTCCAGACTTTGTCAATACTTTACTTCCTAAGAATTAGGGATTTTCAGGTCGGTGATACCATGTTGCAATCTCTTTAGAGAAGAGAGAGCCTGGCCGGGCGCGGTGGCTCAAGCCTGTAATCCCAGCACTTTGGGAGGCAGAGGCGGGTGGATCACGAGGTCAAGAGATCGAGACCATCCTGGTCAACATGGTGAAACCCCGTCTCTACTAAAAATACAAAAAATCAGCTGGGCATGGTGGTGCGTGCCTGTAATCCCAGCTACTCAGGAGGCTGAGGCAGGAGAATTGTCTGAACCCAGGAGGCGGAGGTTGCGGTGAGCCGAGATCGCGCCATTGCACTCCAGCCTGGGTAACAAGAGCGAAACTCCGTCTCAAAAAAAAAAAAAAAAAAAAAAAAGAGAAGAGAGAGCCTAGCAGGGAATAGGCCAGTGGAAGAAAAGCATACTTGAAATGGCTCCGGCATCTAGGCTAGCCTTTTCCTATAGGTGTATGTTCTACAGTTGTAAAAAAAAACAAAAACAAAAACACAAAAAACTATATTAGATGTCAGCAAACTATAATCTGAAATAATTTTTAATTATAGTGACAACTTGATTAGTGAAGCTGTCATATATTCAACCTCACAAACAAAGGGGAAGCTTTATCTATTACATGGATTAGTAGAATATGTCATTGGTTTTAAAAGCAACATGCCTGCAAAGCTTATATGATAAAAAAAAATACCTCTGTGAAGCCTTTTATTTGTCCACATTCAATGGAAGATAAACATGGCTGACCTCAGCCAAGACTGAAACAATAACCCTTTGTCTCCTCAGAACAACCTATCTCCCATCTCTGTGCCCACTGTTCTTACCCCAATTAAAACAAGAAAACATGTGCTAATTTTTTTTTTAATTTTTATCAACTTCCCTTGTCCTCTTTTCACTGTACTCCATTATTCCTTCTGTGATGTTCTACCTTCTTCACTTTTTGGGACCAGGGTGAGTTGGGAGCAGTTTGCCTACCTTCTTTTAGAATCTAGAGCTCGTCTTTTAGTACAAGCCATTGAATGAGCTTTTTCCTTTTTTTTGCACAAACATTCCACATCCATGTGGACTCCCCTCTGTTGTTTGTTTTATATAACATTTAATATTTGTTATAGCTTGCATATGAACATAATTTTCTGTAGCGATAGTCACTGTTTTACTCTCCAGTATAACCCATAGTTTCTTGACTCTGAGTAATGCGCCTCTATATCTAAATTTCTCTTGGAACATTTTGGATTATGAGTGTGCTGATTTTTCAAGAGTGGCTGGTGCATGTTTAGACTTAAATGTCATATCCTTCATGTCTCAAAGCCAAAATAATAACTTCTCATCTCAGAACAGGGCTGTGAGCACATGCCAATGTATGTGTCACAAAGTCTACATATGTTACATTCCTTGGAAGTCTCCTTAAATGTTTCACAAAATGTCAACAAGCTTATTTTGTTATTGATGTTTCTGAGATTGGTCCCATTTAAGACAGTAAACAGGAAAGGTAGTAAAGATGCTATAAGAAGATGCTGTATCTTGAGAATTGAAAAATGAGAATCTGACATGGTTTGAAAAATCGTGAAGGCTGTGTATAAAGGATGCATGTGTAGGAACCCTTAAAATTCATAACAGTATATGTCCTTTTAGCATTTTAATCTTATGAAAAGGTTAAGAGGTAAGTCTTCAAAGTTGGACAAAAGATTTGAATTTAGGTTCTGTAGCTTATTATGGATGCTTGATAAATTCTCCAAGCCTTTTATTTGTTTAATCTCTAAAATAGGAATATAGGATTACCTACTACATTGGCTTATAAGGACTAAATGAGACCATGTATATTGAATGTTTAACATAGTACCAGGCTTTACAAAGAACTCAATAAATGTTTACCATTATTAAAATAGTTTTATAGACTGAAGACCCCATTATTTTACAATACTGAATTACGTGCTGTATACTCTGCTAAAGAAACTGGGAAAAAATGTTAACTGGTTGTTTCTGGGTGGCGGAATTATGGCTGTTTCTTTTTCTTTTTAATTTCTATAGTAAGTTTGAACGACTTTCATAATATTTAGAAAAAATACTAAAGGGAAGAAAAAAAATAAGAGAATTTAAATATATTTTAGTAGATATTTTTATCCAAATTTTAATTCTTAGAATGATAAACACATAGTTTACCAGAAAGCTCAGCTGTTCAAAACTACTGAGTACCCAAAGGACTCAGGTAAACAGGCTGAGGGTTTTACATAGAGAGTGCTCTAGATCTAGTTTCCTTGTTCTGTCTTTTTTCTTCTACATGTTAGTGAAGGAAACATGGGAATCTTATCTAAGCCATTTCTCCTTTTCTAGGTAATACTACATCTAAATGGAGAATTGTCTGTGTTGTTTTTCATCTCAAATGAAAACATAGTACTCTGTAGTTTGTCACCTCCCTTATGGTCAGAAAGTTCTGCTATATTAAAGTCCTTCTGGTATAATTTACTCAGTCTTCTCTGTACTTATATGAATTTGATTAAATCTCTTCTTACCTTTCTAGAGTTTCCATAATCATAGAGTACTCTCACATCTTTCTTCCACCAACAGTAGAAAATATTTTGGTGGAAATGTTAGGATACTACATTGCCTCTAACTTAAATATGTTCACTTTTAAAATCATCATGACTGTTATGTTCAAACTTAAATACTTAGAACAAATGAATGTAATTCCACCATTAATGTGATTAGTTCAGTGAGCGTTATAAATTTTGAAAGTAATGTTTGAATTATAAAAGCTGAAAAAGCCCATTATTTTTCAGCTTTTAAAACATTCTGTAAAGATCAGAAAAATACTTTATGGCACTAAAGTGTATAGTTAATGATTTGATCACTGAGTAGTAATGGCTCTTTGTTCTAGATTTTTATAGCTCCTCTCTACCCAGGAACTTAGACTATAACTTAAGTATGCATAACAGCCTCGAGTCCATAAGTTTTGACATACCGTAATGGGGAAACATAGAAAAAAACAATTTTAGGCCGGGCACAGTGGCTAATGCCTGTAATCCTGGCACTTTGGGAGGCCAAGGCGGGTGGATCATGAGGTCAGGAGTTTGAGACCAGCCTGGCCAATATGGTGAAACCCTGTCTCTACTAAAGTACAAAAATTAGCCAGGCGTGGTAGCATACACCTATGGACCCAGCTACTCAGAAGGCTGAGAAAGGAGAATCGCTTGAACCCATGAGGCGAAGGTTTCAGTAAGCCAAGATCGCACCATTGCTCTCTAGCCTGGGTGAAAGAGTGAGATTCTGTCTCAAAAAATAATAAGAATAACAGTAATTTTATATCCTTAATGGGCTGAAAGTAAACGGGAATATCAATAATACAAATATCTAGGTTAATGTACTCTAAAACTTGGCTTTTACTTGAGTTGTTGCCATTCTAAACCCAAGCAACTTTTTAATAAGATGAACTCCTTTTCATAATTATAGTGTAAATTATGTTATCATTAGAAATTTTATTAATTATGTGATCACCAGATTGAGAGACTGTGCTCTTGAACTGTGCTTGAGCGTAAGTTGACATTTTTTAGTTGTAAAGACTACACTTTTCATTTTTTTCTCTTGCAGTTATCATATCCTCTGTTGCAGAAGAGTCTGCCCAGCAACCAAAAAGGGAAATAACACAAAAAAAGATTTTTGCCTTTTCTCACCAACCATATGAGGCCTTTTAACTTTTTAAATTTTTTTACTCTGCTCTGTTAACACTGAGCTACTATAAACTATCCACTTATGCATGGCATTATATTGATAATAAAACACATTTCGAAACCTCTTCTGGCTTTTTTACATGGTACAGATTCAGTTTTGTTAAATAGCAAGTGCTTAGAGTGATCCATATTGTGTGTTGAACAAAGGATAAAGTTCTAATCTCAGAATTTAGAATCGTCTTAGGCCAGTCCATCCTCTAAAACAGTTTAATCTATAAGCTCATTAGGCTGCAGAAAGGAATCTCCTGAGGGAGTTATTCTGAAGAAAGGAAGCTCCTCTGGTCTTGCGTCTGCTAGAATTGTTTTTCCTTGTAACTCTACCTTCTTCTGGAAGGCAGAAATCTAACATGATTCAATGGCTACAGCTGTAGCAGTGTGCAGAGGAAAGGTTAAATCATTATAGAATACTGAAGAATACTTTGAAATTATCCTTACTCTTTTTCCATTGAAGTGGGGTCCCCTGAGGTAACCAGAGGTGTGATGGGAAAAGCAAATCAAGTTCTTTTTTACCTGCATGCCAATGTTGTGATTGTCATAAGTCCAATGAGAAGTAGATGCCTGTGGTTTTTTAGGAATGTGCTTAGTTCACAGAACGAAAAGGGTTCTCAGTTAACTCAAAGACTAAAAACACAAAGATTAAAATTCAGAGAATGAGGAAAAGAAAATCCAGGGAAGTCTGAGTTTCATTGGAGCAAGTATAGATGATTAGGATATGATTTTCTGGCATGGTCTGAAAACCGTATTCTTTCATTCCAAATAAATAAAAAATTCTTACAATGCTCAAGCGAGTTTAAGTGCTGCACCATAATAAAATGGCTTGATTTTGCAGCTGAGACTTGGCACAATTCATAGACTAAAAGAAGAGCTTAAGAAAAGCTGCAGGCAATTTTTTTTTTTTAGTATCCCGGGGGAAAATGAGCCATTCCCCATGTACTTTTCAAAAAGGCAAAAATTATTTATCTCCTGGAATGAGCAATGTAATTAAAACCTTTTTTTTTCCCCTATGTTTAGTCTTTCAAGAATGTAATTACTGGGTATTCTTTTCTATACTTGTTTCATCCACTCTTTGTTTTTGCCAAGAGATAAATACTAAATTCCGTGCCTTTCTTAGGCCCTTAAAACAATTTATTTTCATGCCAAACCTCTCATTAAGCCTCCTCCCTTTCTTTTAAGAAATTATTTTTTATTGAGATATAATTCACATAAAATTTACCCTTTCAAAATGTACAATTCAGTGGCTTTTAGGATGTTCACAAAATTGTGTAACCATTAGCACTATCTGATTACAGAACATTTTCATCATACCCAAAAGAAACCTGTAATTATTAGCAGTCACTCTTCATTTTCCCTTCTTCTAGCAACCACTAATCTACTTTCAGTGGATTTGCCTATTCTGGATGTTTCATATAAGTGAATTATATACCATATGCTCTTTTGTGTCTGGCATCTTTCACTTAGCATGATGTTTTCAAGGTTCATCCATGTTGTAGCATGTATCAGTATTTCATATCCTTTATGACTGAATAAGCATTCTGTGGATACTCCTTTTCAGAATATTTTAAACAAGCCTTTTTCTTGGTCTTACTGTGATTATAATCTGTTGCAGTTTATTTTATGTTCATAAAAGAACTTCTAACAGATTTAGTAATATATTTTCTATAATTATGGTTTTTTATAATTATCTTCCCAGTGTGGTGGCTCAGGCTTGTAATCCCAGAACTTTGGGAGGCCAAGGCAGACAGATCACTTGAGGCAAGGAGTTCGAGACCAGCCTGGCCAACATGGTGAAACCCTGACTCTACTAAAAATACAAAAAATTAACTGGGTGTGGAGGCAGGCGCTTGTAAACCCAACTAATCGGGAAGCTGAGGCAGGAGAATTGCTTGAACCCGGGAGGTGGGAGTTGCTGTGAGCTGAGATCATGCCATTGCACTCCGGCCTGGGCAACAAGAGTGAAACTCCATCTCAAAAGAAAAAATAGAATTATCTTCCCAGATACAAGTTGGAAGCATCGGAGAGCAACCTCTTCTTAGCCAGTTATTAGAAGAGTTGTTTTCCAGTGGATTGTGTTTTGTTTTTAGCCTTATTCAAAAGTTATACCAGCTATGAAGTTAGAAGAATTCTTGAAGAGATTTAGCTAAAATCAGCTGTAAAGAAAATTAGACCAGTTTTACAGTCAGTCTCCATATCTCAGTTTCACATACATGTATTCAGCCAACCACAGATCAAAGGTATTCAGAAATATAAAGCTATAACAATAAAAATAATACAAACACTTTAAAATATCGTGTAACAACTATTTACATGTCATTTACATTAGATATTACAAGTAGTCTAGAAATGACTTCAAGTATAGGGAAGGATGTGCATAGGTTATGTGTGAACACAATGCTCCTTGACTTATGATAGGTTTACCTTTAGAAATTTTATTTTTCTTGCTTGCTTTTTTTTTTTTTGAGAAAAAGTCTTGCTCTGTCGCCCAGGCTGGAGTGCAATGGCACGATCTCGGCTCACTGCAACTTCCGCCTCCGTGATTCAAGCGATTCTCCTGTCTCTGCCTCCTGAGTAGCTGGGATTACAGGTGTGCACCACCACACCTGGCTAATTTTTTGTATCTTTAATAGAGACGGGGTTTCTCCATGTTGGCCAGGCTGGTCTCAAACTCCTGACCTCAGGTGATCCACCCACCTCAGCCTCCCAAAGTGCTGGGATTACAGACGTGAGCCACTGTGCCTGGCCCATCTTTTCAATATTTTTCTATTTATGATGGGTTTATCTGGATGTGGTCCCCTCATAAAGACCATATTAAATGTGTGTCTTACCATCCTAAAGTCAAAAAATCGCAAGTTGAACAATTGAAAGTTGAGGACTTTCTGTACTACACCATTTTATGTAAGGGACTTGAACATCCACAGATTTTGGTATCTTCAGGAGTCCTGGAACCAGTCCCCTGTGGATACCAGGGGAAAACTGTATATCTTTTTAATTTTGACTTAAAAGATTTCCTACTAAAATGAGAGATGTTCTGTGGACATTTGGCAGACTTAGAAAAGATAGGAAAGCAACTAAGGATTTATGTCTTCCTATAGGCATCTAGTAGTGTTTTTCAAATTAGAAAGGTAAAAACCATTAAAAATTTATTTGTCTATATTGGAATGGAGAAAAGGGCATTTGCTCTTCCAGAAGTCCATGCCTCAGAATATTCTAAACTAATTTTGAAATAGCCACATCGGGAGATCTTTAGGACTCTGCTCCCCAGATGATGCAGCTGCTTCAGCCACTGACTTCCAAGGCTCATAAGCTATTGGAGGAAATGGAAAGGTACATAGACATCATCAGTTCAGAGTGCGTTAGGCAGATGAAGAGCTACAACAAATAAGGAGCTCTGCATTTATAAGAGAGGGACCCATTAGTTTTCACTAGGGACATCAAGAAGATGCTTTTTTTAATTGATCATTTTGCTGTTTTGATTACACCCAAGTTTACATGTGTGGAATATTCTCTTCTAAGTTGGCTATAGTTTAATGGGACTGTCAGACATGGGGCCATGCTATCTGGTATCCATACTGAGGCTATAAATCTCTCCTGGAACTCTGAAATCCTCGAACTTAAAGAGAATGGTTGACACAGATTCATTTTAGTGGCCTGGCCAGGTGTTTGATGGCCTGTTACACAGCCTCATGGATCTGCTCCTATTCTTGTCCTTTATGGACCAGGTCTTAGGTCTGTCTCTTGATTCTGCAGAGTACCTAATGCATTTCTAATAAATTCATTCTCTGCTTAGGTTATGGTCTTAGGGTCTAACCCTAAATGCTATCAAGTGTAACAATACAATTACATTAATTTTATAAAATTGCTTACATTATTACACAAATGGAATTTTTGTAAAATAGCTCTGCAAATTGTCGTGTATCTAAAAGTTATTTTTTTAGGATAAGCATATATATTGGCTGCAACAAACTTATAAAGATCTCACGGTGTGATTAGGGAGACAAGATTCAAAATACACAACATTAATGACCATTTTTCTTTAATGCAATAGTCCTATTTGCTTTCTGTACCTTCTCTATCATATCTATAAATTCTTATCTCTGTAAAACTCAATAATCTGTGGTTTCACTGTAATTCAGTATTAATATATTACAGTCTGCTTACAGAAATAAGATTAAAAAACAGCTGGACATGAGGGCTCACACCTGTTATCCCAGTGCTTTTGGGAGGCTGAGGCAGGAGGATTGATTGAGGCCAGGAGTTGGAGACCAGCCTCAGCAACATAGCGAGACCCCATCTCTACAAAAAGTCAAAAATTAGCCAGGTGTGGTGGCGTGTGCCTGTAGTCCCAACTACTTGGGAGGCTGAGATGGGAGGATCACTTGAGCCCAGGAGATTGAGGCTGCAGTGAGCAGTGATTGTGCCACTGCACTTCAGCCTGGGTGACAGAATGAGACCTTGTTTCAAAGAAAAAGCAAGAAGATAAAACATTAAATAATCATTGAATGAAACAGTGCCTAGAATAGTACCTGGCACAGAGTAGTTAAATTAATGAACAAGTGAATGAGTAAATAAGAGTGATGAGTGAATAGTACATGCAATATACTCTGTGCCTGGGCTGCTGAGCTCTACAGGAGAACATAAGCAAAACCACAGAGATTATCAAGTTAATACATTCATTGTCATCGATCTCAATTAAACCCTTAACACTGGCTGTCTTTCAGTTTCCCTAGTCAGCTGTCTCCCACTTTCAACAACTATTTCAAAACTTCTCCACTCGCCTTAAACCACCAGTCAACCCAGCACCCCTTCTCATTCTTGGTAGATGACTCCTTCCTTCTTCACAGAACAGAGGTGACCAGACAGGAATTCTCCCCTCTTTTGGTCACCAAGTTTACAATTCTCCCTGTTCCCTGCCCTAATAGTCCTTTTCCTCTCCCATTCCAGTAGGAAAGCCATTCCTCACATTTCTGGATCCCATTCTTTTCTGACACTTTTGTGACTTTTACTTATTCATCTTCCTGATTTCTTATGTTAAAAAGTAAGTATTTTTAAGTCTATTTCATCTCAATGTCCTTTGATTCACATCCCTGTTCAGTTACCACACACCTTCCCTATTGTCTATTTCAGTAACTCCTTGAAAAAATTCACCTGCCTTTCCAAACCAATCTTGGTAACATTTTCAGGAACTTCCATGTTGCTAAATCCAATGCATACTTTTCAGTCCTCATTTTAATGTACCCATCTCCGTCCTTTGTTTTTTTATTTTCTTTTTTTTCCTTCTAGTGTTCTCCCCTACCCTACTATGTTCTTTTTTGTCACTCTGCTATTTTGCATCCTACAACTCTAGCACTGTATTATTATTCTTTGCAGGACTCTCTTCTATGCTCCTGTTAGTAGTAAGTGTTCCCCAGAGCTTCATCCTAAGCCATTTCTCCCCACACATTTATGCTAGGTAGTTTGGCTTATTCCCTAGGCTTTAATTAACATCGGTTTGCTGATAACTATCAGCTATAGATGTTTGGCCCATATTGCTTTCCTGAGTTTGAGACAGATGTACCTACTACATACCTGCACTTAAATGTCCAACAGGTACTTCATACTCAAAATAAACGAAATTCGGCAGAAGTGTCATTCTTTCCTTTTTGCTATAGGCCCAAGTGGTTGCTGCCAACATGGGCAAATTCATGAAACCTGGGAAGGTGGTGCTTGTCCTGGCTGGACGCTACTCTGGACGCAAAGCTGTCATCATGAACATTGATGATGGCACCTCAGATCGCCCCTGTAGCCGCACTCTGGTGGCTGGAATTGACCACTAACCCTGTAAAGTGATAGCTGCCATGTGCAAGAAGAAGATCGCCAACAGGTCAAAGATCAAGTCTTTTATGAAAGTTTATAACTACAATCACCTAATGCCCACAAGGTACTCTGTGGATATCCTCTTGGACAAAACTGTCGTCAATAAGAATGTCTTCAGAGATTCTGCTCTTAAATGCAAGGCCTGACAAGAGG